AATATTAAGAACAAATATTTATGTCAAGTATTTGACATTTTTTATTTTCCTGGCAAAACACAATTTACCAAAAGTGATATAAGGGGAAACAGGTCATCTGAAGGATCCCATATTAATTTTGAGAAATTGTATCTGTAGTAGTGTGCTCTGCTGCCGTGATAGACTGCCATGGACTGGGTAGCTTAAACAACAGAAATTTATTTTCCACAGCTGTGGAGCCAGAAGTCCAAGATCAAGGTGCCATCAGGGTTGGTTCCTGGTGAGGCCCCTCTTCCTGGCTTTTAAGTGCCTGCCTTCTCACTGTGTTCTCACATGGCTTTTGTGCATTCAGGGAGAGAAAGATCTGTCTGGTGTCTCTTCCTCTTATAAGGATAACACCTCTATAGGATTAGGGCCACTCTTTTTTTTTATTGTTGTTCAAGTACAGTTGTCTCCATTTCCCCTTGACCAATCTCCCCCGCCCCAGTGATCCCCACTTCCCACCGTCGATCCTACCCTCTTTTGGCTTTGTTCCATGTGTCCTTTATACATGTTCCTGACAGCCCTTCCCCCTTTTCCTTCCATAATCCCCTCCCATCTCCCCTCTGGTTATTGTCAGTTTGTTCTTAATTTCAGTGTCTCTGGTTATATTTTGCTTGCATGTTTGTTTTGTTGATTAGGTTCCACTTATAGGTGAGAACATATGGTATTTGTCTTTCACTGCCTGGCGTATTTCACTTAGCATAATGCTCTCCAGATCCATCCAAGCTGTTGCAAAGGGTAGGAGCTCCTTCTTTCTTTCGGCGGTGTAGTATTCCATTGTGTAAATGTACCATTGTTTTTTGATCCACTCATTTACTGGTGGGCACTTAGGTTGCTTCCACCACTTGGCTATTGTAAATTGTGCTGCTATGAACATTGGGATGCATAGGTTCTTTGAGGGGACGGCCACTCTTATGACCTCATTTAACCTTAATATCCTTCCCCAAAGGCCCCATGTCAAGATATACTCACATTGGGGGACTTCAACATAGGAATTGGGTGGGGGAGGAACCCAATTAAGTTTATAACAGGATTCTCAATTTAAAACTCCTGATAATTTCAGATTTAGATAGCATCACCAGCAAGGTCTAGCAAACATTTAAAGAATGGTATGGTTCCATCAGATTTCCAAATTCCCTCAGAGAATGGATAAAACAGAAACATTACACAACTCATTTTCTTTTTTTTTGAAGCAAGAATAACCTCAATTCCAAATTTTAACAAGAACATTATAATAAGAAAATTTCCGGCCAATAGTTCTCATAAACAATTTGGCATAGCTTCATTGTGGTACATGTTTCGTGTTTCATTACTTTAAAAAATTGTGTATTCTGCCCTGGCTGGTGTGGCTCTATTGGTTGGAGTGTTGTCCCACTAAATTGAAAGGTCACAGGTTCTATTCCCCACATCAGGGCACATGCCTAGGTTGTGAGCTTGGTCCCCAGCCAGGGCACATGCAAGAGGCAACTAGTCAATGTTTCTCTCTCACATGGATGTTTCTCTCCCTCTGTCTCTCCATCCATTTACCTCTCTCTTAAATCAGTATGTCCTAGGATGTAGATTAAGAAAAAAAAGATTGTGTATTCTGCAGTTGGGAGGTATGTTCTATAAATGTCAAAGTTGATAATGTTCAAATTTTTTATCTCCTTACTGATTTGTGTATGTACCTGATTTATCAGTTATTCAGAGGTGTGTTAAGATCTACAAATGTAATTGTGGTTTTGCCAATATTTCCCTTCAGCTGTATTGATTTCTGCTACATTTATTTTGACGTTCTTTTATTAGATGCACACACATTTAGCATTGGTATGTCTTCTTAATGAGTTGACTTTTTATCAATGGGAAATAACCTTAATTATGTCTGATAATACTCCTTATGTTGAAATCTATTTTGTATGATATTAATATAGACACACCAGTTTTCTTGTGATTAGTGTTTGCATGGTTCTAAAATTCTCATTAGTTTCTTTTTAGAATTTCTATTTCTCTTGAAATACCCCATTTTTTCATGCACTATAATCCAATGTATATTGTAAAACCTTTACCATATTTATAGTTTTTATTTAAAGTCCATGTCTGCTAATTACAATAACTGTATTCTCAATGAATTGGTTTGTATTAAGTGTTTTCTCTTGATTTGGGGTCTATCGTCCTTCTTTTTTGCATGTCTTATAATTGTTTTATTGTGTACTAGACATTATGTGGAAGAATGTGGAAGCCGAAGTTTAATTTAGTTCTGAGAGAGTGCAAGCCTTTTTCTCACCTTGACGGTGAGAGGCTGGTCTTTTGAAATCTTCCCAGACTTGAGTTGCACTTTAACCGTGGCAGTGGCTTTCATTAGATTGAGTTCACTTGTGATTAATCCAGCCTCCAACCTCCCTCTTTATAGTCACCTCTTATATCTTGTCAAAATTTCTTTGCAACAGGTTTGGACTGACATTTTAAATATGTTTGGTTCACTTTTGGAGTCAACTCTGTCAGGGCCTTGAAACCCTATATACCAACTACAGTAAGAACACATTGGCCTTTATAAAAACTTCCCAGCACCTCTTGTACTGCTGCCTTTTTTTTTTTTTTGACAAAATTCAGAAGTGAGGTGTAGGGGTAATTTCTTTTTTTTTTTTGCATTTGGGTATCTTTCAGACTCCAGTTTTTTCCCATAGCTCACGTTGATGCCTAAGGCCCCGCTGATTTCATCTCTGCAAAGTCACTGAATCAGGTAAGGCAACTCAAAGGATGCACACACCTCACTGCTGGGTAAGGAAGCTGCCACAGCTTTATGCTCACTTAGAAAAGGCATATTTCTCTCTGGACTTCAGGTAATCCAGGCTTCCAGGTAAGGCATCATTATGGGCTTCCCACCTCTGCAGTTGCACAGGGCCTCGTGATTAGAGGGCCCTATATTTGGTTTAATGCCCTGATGTCACCATCTTAAATTCTTAACTTTTTAAACAGATTTTATTTATTCATTTTTAGAGAGAGTGGAAGGGAGGGAGAAAGACAGGGAGAGAAACATCAGTGTGTGGTTATCTCTCGCACACCCACTACTGGGGACCTGCCCCTCAACCTAGGCATGTACCTTGACTGGGAATTGAACTAGGGATCCTTTGGTTCACAGGCTGGCAATCAATCCACTGAGCCACATCAGCCACGGCTTAAATTCCTAAAATTTTTGAACAAGGGATTCTGCATTGTCACTAATTATATAATTGTTTCTGCTTACTGGCATCCTTCACTTTTCACTAATGCAATAGAAAGGTAACATTTTTATTTGTTCCAGGTTTTATTCTTGTTACCATGGAAACAAATGTTTTGCATCCCTCTACATTCTAACAAAAGCCTCACTTCCTTTTAACTATAAACTTTGGAATTTTATACTGAAATTAGCTGGAACTTTCCTACACAAGTTTCATTTCCTTAATTCATTTTCTAAATCCCTTTAGTTGAAATGTGAATATTATTTTTAGTGCTTTGTACTAGAAGTGATTGGTGCTAGAAAGATACCATGTCACATCGCAAGAAAAAAGTTAACATTTAAATTATTGTAATTTGGCTTCTTTATATTCTGTGAATTTCAAAATGTATTAATGGCTTCTTTCTAGCCAAACTGCTATAGTCAGTGTCCCTGGAGATATCATGTACATGTTTTTGTCTGTGTGCACCCTAGCTCTTATTCCCTATCTTTCTCAATCTGACTAGGCCTAAGGTCCCATGTTTTCCATAAATTTTTTCTGGCAGCTCTATGCATCTTACTTTTTATGATTGTCACATATATCCTTTATTTTTATTGTTGTATCATGTTATATATTTACTTATACTCATCATGTATTTTAAACAATGTTAAAAGAATGAAATATTATCTTCAACCTCAAATGTGTAGTTATTACAAAACATGGTCTTGTGATTTCCTAATCTTGATCATTTTATCTATTGATGTGAAATATGTATTTTAGTAAATTAAAATGTTATGCAGTTTTTTCAGATAGACCATTAGAGTATTATAACAAGATACCCTGAATTTCTCTTATTTTTGTCTTCTTGCTGGTTTTTCATTCTCAGGGACATTTTTTTTCTTTATTTAAAAGGATTTTTAAACACCTATGTATCTCTCTGACATTCATCTACTCGTTTAGTTTTTAATTAATGTACACTGAAAGTACTCATTATGTACTGACCATGAGCCAGGCTCTGTGTGAAATTTTGACAATTCAGCAGTGATTACACCATAGGTGCTATCCTTGTAAGGATTGCAAATCTGCTATTATCATAGAGGATGTTTTTGGGGGCCAAGTGAGGCTTCCTAGAAAAAGTAACTTTTAATTTGATATTAAAATAAGAGTTAAATAGGCCAAGAATGGGTTGGAGGGAGAGGCTTTAGACAGGGAGACTTCTAAGCAAGCAGCAGGAAGAATGTGTACACAGTCTCTAATGCAAGGAAGAGCAAGATCTGGTCTTGATTAAAATTAATTTTTTGAGTGAAAGAATACATTTTTAGCTTCTAAAGAATCTACTAGTAAAAATAGGATTATTATTTATTACATTGAAACATCCAAATATTTAAAATGTTTTCATCATGTCACTAGTGTCACTTTTAAATGCGTCATCAGCAAGAGGAGCATGTTATTATATTTCGTCTCTGGATTTTTGGAGAGATCATCAAGATAGCCCAAAATATCTTAAATTCTTGTAGGAATTTCAAATGAGGACATTCAGAAGGATTCATGTGGGGTTTTTCTTTAAGAGCAGTGTATCAGAGGGAAGCCTTATATAGAGTTTGGTTTGGAGGCACAGAATTTAAACATTGATCTCTGTCACTTTTCAAAGTTCAGGGACTTTACAAAGTGAATATTTTACAGTATATTATGGCTCTGAAAATTATAACTTAAGTTCAGTATCTTTATTTAAATATATTATATGTAAGCATTATAAACAATCTGAATTTATGTTCATGAACAATACTGATTTTGCTTTATTAGAAAATGGAAGAACCTCCCAGGAACATTGAAGAATTCTTAAAGTCTCAAAATTGGGTAAGTAGAACATCCTACTTTATGTGCCATACATATTTTAAAACATCAAATACAGAGATGGAAAAATCTTAGGAACAGACTATAAGAACAGAAATTCTTATGGGGTCCCACTATCTTTTTGTTTTTTAAAAAATTTTATTGAATTTATTGGGGTGACATTGGTTACAAAAACTCTATGGGTTTCAGGTGTACAATTCCATAATACATCATCTGTATATTGTATTATGTGTTCACCACCCAAAGTCAAGTCTCCTTCATCACCATTTATTGCCCTTTACTCTCTTGTACCTCCCCACCCCCCTTTCACTCTGATAATCACCATACTATTGTCTGAGTTTTTTGTTCTGTTTTGTTTTGTTTAATCCCTTTACCTTTTTCACCCAGACCCCAACAACGCTCCCCTCTAACAGCTTGTCAGTCTGTTCTCTATATCTATGAGTCTATTTCTATTTTGTTTGCTTATTTATATCGCTCATTAGTTTCCACATGTCAGTGAGATCGTATGCTATTTACATTCCTCTGATTGGCCTATTTCATTTAGCATAATACTCTCCAGGTCCAACCATGCTGTCACAAAAGATAAGGTTTCCTTCTTTTTTATGGCTGAGTAGTATTCCATTGTGTAAATGTGGACAGCTTATTTATCCACTCGTCTACTGATGGACACTTGTGTTGCTTCCAAATCTTGACTGTTGTATTGTAAATAATGCTTCACTGAATGTGGGAAATACATTTCAATGTGGTATTTGTTTATAACTATTTACATCCTTTCAGTAAGCTCTATCTTATAGCATTCCCTCTTGTCATATTCTGTTCTCTTTTTCACTTCTAAAGAATTCTAATACTGTGCCCTATCAGGAGAATTATATAGACATTTCTATATAATTTTCCTAATATAGGATTTTTGTCTTACATATTTACAGCTCACAGAATACTTGGCAGTTATACTTACTTACATCATTTATCCATTCACCACAGCTTAGACTCATAGGTAATTTGCAGAGGTGTTGCATCAGTATTCTTTGGTGTTGAATCAGAGTAAAATATTTAAAATGTGTTTTTATGTTGAACTTTCCAGTTTCCATTCTGTGTAACTACTTACTTCTGGAGTTATTGGGGCTATGTGGGTTTTCTCTTGGGTTCATGCATTTGTGAGTCTGAAGGTCAGGTTTGTTTTTCATTGAGGAGTGGCAAGGGCTAGGAAAAAGATGTTAGTATGGAAGGCAGAGTGAACAGGAGGCTTTTTTAATGAGGTGTGTACATATTTTGAGTAGATTAGACTTTAATTTGCACTTACACTTAAATGTAAACAGAATTTGCTGTGACTAAGCTATTGACAATTGAGTTTCTAAAATATCTATTTTTAAATATCTATTTTCTCTTCCTATATTTGTTTACATTTTTTTAATATTTTGAAAAAGGATTGCATTCCCTTTAGGAGCAAATAGAAAATGAAAATGTTCCTAGTTTACAAAAGTTTATTTCAACCATTAGGTGGAACCAGAAAATTTTAATTACTTTTAGAACAAGCTTTTTGCAACTATTTTAATTTAAATAATGATGGAAATATGCTATAGCCTAGTCACAATGTTTTGGGTCTTTTTTAATGTCTAAGAAAAGGGATTATAGTTAAAATTAAGCCAAACTCAGCAAATATATTATAGAGACTTTTGGACTGTACCATCATACATAGTTTGAGAATCTATGATTTTAGATGAAATTTTCCAATTATTTGAAGTAAAATATGCATAGTCACTCTGTTCAAATTCTGCATAATCTAGTCAAATCAAGATCAAAAGTTTATACTTGCCCTTCACCAAAGATAGAATAAAATCAAAATTAAGCCCTGGCCAGTGGGCTCAGTTGGTTGGAGTATTGTCCCATGCACCAAAAAATCAGGGGTTTGATTCCTGGACACCGCACAGACCTAGGTTGTGGATTTGATCCCTGATCGAGGCGCATATGAGATGGAACCAATTGATGTTTCTCTTTCACATCAATGTTTCTCTCTCTCCCCATTCCTTGCTCTTGATAATCAGTCAACGTATTTTTTAAATCAAAATTAAAGCACCATGCTTGTATGCAAAGGATAGCATATATGTTAATAGCCTTCCATTTTTATCAGATAATATTTGATAAAACAGCATATCCAGTTGTGCCATTTTGTCATTTATGGGTTTATCTGTAAAATTTTTTATTATCTAGATTTCCCAACCAAATAATTGTATTCTGTAGTGTTTTTTTTTTTTAAGTTTGGACTGTGTCTATGCATTGCCTAACTATAGGATACTTGAAAATATCTAGGAATAAAATGACTGGATATTTAATTTTTTTTGTTGGAAAAACTTCTACCTTATAGACAATAATAAAAAGCTAATGTTCCTCAAATTCATTTAAGAAGTATTTTGAGCACCTACTGTGTGTCATGCACATAGGTATTTAGAACATATCAGTGAATAAAAACAGACAAAGGTTCCTACCTTCATAAAGTTTTCATTCTTTTTAAAATGAGGCATATTATAATCAAACAAGTAAATAAAACAAAAGAGAAAATAAAACATATTCTAAACTGCTTATGCCTTCCTGAAAAGCCTATCTGTTTAAGTTTTTTTTTCTAAAATATAAATGAAAAGGCATGTATTTGCATAGTTGTGCAGTGGTTAAGATTAGAAGCTCTGGAGTCAGACTGCCAAATTGCCTACGTTCAAATGCCAGCTCTGCTACCAATTAGTATTAGAGAACGGTACCTGGAACCTACCTGTTATCTATTAGTTTCTTATACTTCATGCTTTACTCTTTATTATATCATCTAAAGCCCTCTCATTTTGGCCATTTCCACCATTTCTATGTTTCTTTTCTAATTATAATTATTTTATACCTTCTACTCCTCTTTCCTGTCTTCCTATCATTCGTTATAGTTCCATGTAACTTCTTACTTTCAATCATTTCTCTTCTCATTTCTCTCTTGGTCAATTCCTACATTCTTTTTTTGTTCCTACCCCATCACTTCATCAGCATTCTATTTCCATTTTTGTTTTTAAGAAAATATTTTTGTATTTTTATAACACCCTTTTGTTCCACTAATATTGTGTCATTGTCAATTCTCCTACTTATTCTATCCATTCATTCATTCATTTAACGATTTTTATTCACTACCTACTGTTTGGCAGGTAATACGTTCTGGACACTGAAGATACAAACAACGAACAAAAAAGAAAAATACCCCTGCACTAGTGGGATTTACGTCACCCTCCTCCTTCTGCCCTACTCTATACTATCACAGTTTTTTGTTGCTTTTCAGTTGTTTAGGTACTGAAGAGTTGGTTTGAATTCCTTCCTCATCTATTTATCACATTTAATCTTCCCTATTATTTATTTCTTACTCTTTGTCTTTTTCTGCTTTCTTATGATTTCTACCTATTGGTGCTTTAATTCCTCTTCTCTTAGGGCATCAGTGTCCATTTCTGTTAACAGACCTGCTAGGTTTGTGGTACAGACCTGGATGGTGCTCAGATTCCTACTGTGATTTTTCACAGAAGATCAAAGCTACTTTATGGTAGAGAGAATAAGTATTTCATTTTCATTCTCTTTATTCAGGAAATGCTATGTTATTTATTTGTTACTCATTCATCTATTCATCCATCCATTTAAATGACCTGTAAGGATTGTTTTCAAAAGTGGCTGTTATTTTAAGTAGACAATGTTTGTCTCTGTGGACTGTATCCTATGATCATAACTTATTTTCCTGAGATCTTTGTATTTTTTGACACTTAGTACCTGAGTGGTTGTGTTTCTTAAGATATATGTATATGTTTGTAGGATCTGGGAGAGTGTGCATATGTATCTAAGTGATATTCTTTCTTCCAAAAGGCAGAGGGAATGAGATTCCTCTGGGAAAGTTTTCCAACATTAAAAGCTAGGTATTATATAAGTACTTGCTATCATTAGAGAGCACAGTTAATAAATAAACATTTGTAATGGCCTCAGTAGACTTTTTTTGGCCTTAAACAACAGAAATTTATTTCTCACAGTTCTGAAAGCTGGGCAGTATAAGATCAGGGCACCAGCAAATTTGGCGTCGAGCATAAAACCTGCTTCCTGGTTCACACACAACCTTCTTGCTGTATCCTCACAGGGTAAAGGAATGAGCACGCTCTCTGGGGCCTCTTTTATACGGGCACCAATATCGATCATGAGGGCTCTACCCTCATGACCTAATTGCCTCCCAAAACTCCACTGCCTCATACCATCATCTTTATGGTTAGGATTTCAACTTACAGTTTGTGGGGGGTGACACAGACATTCAGACCATAGCAGACAGTATCAGCTCTAGTGTCTGACAGACATCAGACAAAGGGGGACAACCTGCATCCCAGGTTTGGGTCATCAGTAAGGACTGTAGCAGAGTGTATATATCATTAAATTTTAGAGTTGAGTGGGATTTGATAGGTCTAACTAGTCATCATTTTCTCTACTATCTTGGCCCTAGCACTAATCCTTTTAGCACTAGTGGTTTCAGTAGACTTTTAAACAGAGAAAAGGGGATTCCTCTTATTTCCCTCTCTTTCCTTTTTTTCTTCCTCTCCTTCCCTTCCTGACTAATTTAGTCCTAAAGCCATTTGGGGACCAAAACAAGGCAGGCAACCAGATTGGCAGGGGAGATGGGATGTACTATGATAGCACAGAGCAAGTTGTCTGAACTCAACCACAGTGAGAAGCATGTCCATGTGACCCCAGGTGTCAGAGTCCAAGGGAATGAAGATGGTACCTCCATGTGGCCAGGGATAGGGGTGAAGGGTGGTTTTGGGGGGTGGGGAGGTAAGTTATGGCCTGATGTGGGAAGTCAGAGCCCAAGTAGGGAGTAAAGATGGTGTCTCTGTAGAATGGTCAACCTCGCAGGGGGTGTCAGAGCCTAAGCAGGATGAGAAGGACATCCAATAAAAAAAGGCTGTCAGTAGATAGGAGAGATTGGTTAGTGATCACCTGAAAATATTGATAAAATAAATACATATATATTAAAGATAGGAGTGGCTAAGTTTTTTTCAGTGTTGGAAATAATTATAATACAGAGAGATAATTAGAATGTTTAGAATAGGAATTAGAGGTACCAGTGTGAACTCATGATTTTTAAGTACACAGAAAACAAAAGATATATGGAACTAAAGATATATGAAGCTGAAATGTAATGTGTGATACTAAACTAGACCCTTTTGCTATAAAGGGCATTGTTGGTTCAGTTGATGGAACTGGAATAGAATTTGAGGATTAGATAACAACAATGAATCAGTACCCATTTCCTGATTCTGGTGGTTATATTTTGGTTCCATAGAAGAATGTGTTTGTTTTTAGGAAATACACACTAAAGTATTCAAGGATGGTGGATCATCAGTCAAGTAAGCAACTTATTTTCAAATGATTCAGGAAAAATTTTTTATAAAGCATTTAAAGCTTCTAAAGTTTATGATTGTTTCAACATTTTTAATGAATACATTTAACAAAAAATAATGCTGTGCAATAAAATCTCAATTTTAGCTCATTGATTTAAATCATATTCCATCACATTTTTTGCAGGATTATTGGCCAAGGGATGTCCTTTTTGAAGATAATGATATATGGGAATACACTCTGAATAAAATAAAAGAAGATTGTTCATTTGCTTCAATTTATACACATCTACAGGAAAATATCCCTCGAATATATGATGCCCAGTTGATCATGGAGTCAAGATTACAGGAATGTTCAACTCTTTTGGAGAACCATGCTGCTAAAATATTTGAGTTGCACAGCATAATTTTAGGTAAACATTATTTTCAAGTGCATAAAGCAGTGGTCAGTTGTGTGTGTACATGTGTCTATCAATCTGTCTGTCTGTCTTTGTGTCTGTGATCTCATAAAAGATGCAACCCTCAGGTATAAAATATCTAAAAACAAAATTAAAATAATTTTTATTTTTAAAACCTCATATTTCAAAATGTTCTAGTATAGGTCTTTAGTTGAATGTGAGCATGTAGATTGAAAGAAAGTATTCCTAGGACAAAACCTGAAATAGCTGTGCTCTTTCTTAAGCTGGAGAAAAGGTAGCTGAATATCAGGGAAATAGGATTGCGTCAACTGATACTGGTACCAGAGACATGCGAGCCAGCAAGGGTTAGAGTGCAAGAAGTTAAATAACTAAATCCCAAAGTGGAAGGGTGAGAACTGATCTACATGAGCTAGGTTAACTTGAAGGAAGGAGGTATTCAGTATCCCGTACTGAATAGCTGCAGAGTGAGTAAGAAGCACATCTGCTAGTAATGATAATTTTTACTTCCTTTCAATATTCGTATAATTTTTTCTCATCTAATTAACACTTTCAAAAAAGTTTTAAGATACTAATGGTGATTGTTCTTATTCTTGACTTAATGGGCAAACATCATATATAAGCCTTAAAAATGCTGATATTGGTTATACTTAGGAAGTATTTTCTATGTATTAAGTAAATTTAATTAGCTATATTAGTTAGATATTTAATATACTTTTATGTACCTTGATTTCTCAAATTCTGAGAATATGTTTAAATATACTATTAAATTTACTACTATTGTATTTTAAATATTCTTATTTAATTTTGGATTATTTTTCATATAAAATATTTTTGAAATATATATATAGAGAGTGCACATATGCACACTGTAAAAATAATTTTAGGTATATTCATCATCCTCAATATGTAAATATCAGAGCTTGGATTAAAGTCTAGGTTAACTGACTTCATGGCGCCCACCAGTCTTTCACTAGGCCATGCTCCAAATTGTACTTTCTTGAATTTAAGGTGACCATAAAAGCACAATGCAGGTAACTGAGCTGCTTGGAAAACATGGGCTTGTTCAGTCAGAAGAGAATGAGGTAAAACTTTAGATATAGGAGTTAGTACTGACGACATACTAGTTTGAACTTGACATTTCTAAAAACTAAAAGGGAAGAGAAGATATAACAGTTATTTACTCAGTTAAGAAGAGTTTGTGAGTCTAGCATTATGCTTATCAAAATAGCTAGCTGATTCCATTGAATAGTTTCATATATATTATATTTGAAATATTTAAATCATTTTCATTTTTAAAGAAGATATATGTACGTATACACACACAAAATACACATATATGTTGTGAATTTTTATTTTTTAAAGGTTCTCAAGGAACATTGGAAAAATACAAGGCATTTCTAAGGAAGTACCATAAGAAAAAGATGATAATGGTATAGTATTTGTTTCCATCTTTCATGAAAAATTATATTTGCACAGAAAATATAATTACTATAATTGGATAGATTATTCCATAGATACTTTTTAAATTTCCTTTTAGTCTTGTGTCTTCTGTCTAACTCTGTGTTTACAAAATAATTGGGGTCATATTCTCTTTACACATACAATATTACCAGTAGAATGTTGGTATTTTCACAGCACTGGGAGTTATTTAAAAAACTTATTTTAATGTATATATACTCCATCCTCTTGTTATTTAATAATTTAAATCCTATTCTAAGTGCAGGTTCCACATCAGTTCTCTTCCTATAGAAAAAATTAAGAATTCATTTTAAGGAACATTCATAGCATAGCTAACACCTGTCCATCTCAAATTATTCCAAAAAATTCAAGAGGAGAAAAGACTCCCAACCTTACTTTACAAGGCCAGTATTATCCTAATTCCAAAATGAGATGAGGATGCTACAAAGAAAGACAATTATAGGCCAATATCCCTGATGAACATAGATGCCAAAATCCTCAAGAAAATATTTGTAAATTGGACCCCCCAATACATTAAAAAGATCATACACCATGATAAAGTAGGATTTATTCCATGGAAGGTTGGTACAATATCCACAAATCAATAAAAGTGATATACCACATAAACAAAATGAAGGGTAAAAATCACACTATCAGCCCTGGACAGTGTGGCTCCATTGGTGGGAATGGTTGAAGCATTTTCCAGTAAGCCAAAAGGTCATGAGTTCAATTCCTAGTTAGGATACATGCCTAGGTTGTGGGTTTGGTCCCTAGTTAGGTGCATGTGCAAGGCAACCAGCCAATGTTTCTCTCTCACACTGATGTTTCTCTCCTTCTCTCCCTCTCTTCCCCTCTCTCTAAAAATCAATAAGCATGTCCTCAGCTGAGGATAAAAGAAAAAAATTCACATTGTCATATTAATAGATGCAGAAAAAGCATTTGATAAAATCCAGCACCCATTTATGATAAAAACTCTGAGAAAAGTGGGAATAGTGGGAACATACTTCAACATAATAAAGGCCACACAGCAAAACCAAAGCCAACATCATATTTAATGGGCAAAAAACTAAAAGCATTTCCCTTAAGATCCAGAACAAGAGAGGAATGTCCACTTTCACCACTCTTATTCAACACAGTACTGAAAGTTCTATCCAGTCAGACAAGAAGAAGAAATAAAAGGCATCTAAATTAGAAAGGAAGAAGTAAAACTGCCTTGTTTGCAGGTGACATGATACTGTACATAGAGAACCCTAGAGATTCCACCAAAAAACTACTAGAACTGATAAATGATTTCAGGAAAGTAGCAGGATACAAAATAAATATCCAGAAATCAGTTGCATCTTTATACACCAAGAATGGACGATCAGAAATGGAAACTAACAAAATGATCACATTTATAATTGCATACAAAGAAATGCCTTTGAATAAATTTAAACAAGGACATTAAGGACATGTACTTGGAAACTACAAGACACTGATGGAAGAAATTGAAGAAGATAAGTAAAGGGAAGCATACACCATGATTATAGATAAGAGGAATTAACCTCATTAAAAAGACCATACTACCCAAAGCAAATATAAATTCAGTGTCATTCCTATCGAGATACAAATGGCTTATTTCAAAGAACTAGAACAGATATTCCAAGCATTTATATGGCACCACAAAAGACCCCAAATAGCCACAGCAATCTTGAGAAAGAAGTACAAGTTTGGGGGAACTGTGCTACCTGCCATTAAACTACACTATAAGGCCATAGTAATCAAAACAGCATGGTACTGACATAAAACTAGATGTATAGATCAATGAAACAGAATAGAAAGCCCAGAAATAAACCCACACCTTAATGGTCAATTAATTAATATTCGACAGAGGAGGCAAGAACATACAATGGGATAAAAATAATCTGTTCAATAAATGGTCCTGGGAAAATTAGACAGATATGTGCAAAAAATGAAACAAGCCCACCTTCTTATACCATACACAATAATTCAAAATGAATTAAAAACTTAAACATTAGGCTCAAAACCATAAATCCTAGAAGATGACCTAGGTAGTAAAATCTCTGATATTTCTCATAGAAATACTTTTTGGTATGTCTCCTCAGGCAAGGGAAACAAAAGAAAAAAATAAGTGAGACAACATCAAACTGAAAAAAGATTTTGCACAGCAAATGAAACCATCAACAAAATGAAAAGATAACCATTTCAGTGGGAGAATGTATTCACCAATGACACATCTGATAAAGGTTAATATTCAAAATTTATAAAGAACGTATAGTCCTGTCCAGTGTGGCTCGGTTGGAGCACTGTGCCATAACCAAAATATTGCAGGCTCAATTCCAAGTCATGGCACATACATAGGTTGTGGGTTCAATCCTTGATCTCTGTTCCAGGTCTGGGCCTTATGATTCCTAGTCCAGAAGCATGTGGAAGGCAATCAGTCAATGCTTCTCCTTCATTTCATTGTTTCTCTCCCTCTTTCTCTCTAATAGCAATGAAAAAAATGTCCTGTATTTGGGTGAGGATTAAAAAAAAGGAAGAATTTATAAAACTAAACACCAAAAAAACCCCAAAAACCCCAAAACAAAAGAAACAATCCAATTAAAAAGTGGGCAAAGGGCCTGAATAGACACTTAAACAAAGAGGACATACATATGGCCAGCAGGCATATGAAAAGATGCTCAACATCCCTTATTATTAGAGAAACGCAAACTAAAACCACAATGAGATATTACCTCATTCCTGTCAGAATGGCTATCATCAGTATATCAACAAACAACAAGTGATGACAAGGATGTGGAGAGAAGGGAACCCTCATTCACTATTGGTAGGAATGCAGATTGGACCAGCCAGTGTGGAAAACAGTATGGAGTTTCCTAAAAAATTTAAAAATGGAACTGTTTTATGACCCAGCAATTTCACTTCTGGGAATATATCTGAAGAAATTCAAAACACTGATTCAAAAGAGTATATGTACCCCTGTGTTCACTGCAGCATTATTTACAGTAGTCAAGACTTGGAAGCAACCCCAGTGCCCCTCAGCAGATGAGTATATCAAAAAGAAATGGTACATTTACATAATGGAATACTACTTGGCCATAAAAAGAGGAAAATATTACCATTGTGGCAGCATGGATGCTGGTGCCAGGATAAAATCCCAGCCTCACAGGAGAGTGCATTGGAGAGACCCACAGGGTCCTAGAACCTACACAAAACCATGCACTTGGAAATCAGCACCAGAAGGGCCCAATTTGCTTGTGGGTAGAGGAGGAAGTGACTGAAAGCCATCTGAGAGCTAAGCAAGCAGCATTGTTCCCTCTTGGACCCCTCCCCCACATACAGCACCATAATGCAGGGAAGTGGGTTGCCCTGCCCTAGCAAATACCTAAGGGTCTGCTCCTTACTATCTAACAGGCACAAGAGACAAAAAAAATGGCTCAAATGAAAGAACAGATCAAAACTCCAGAAAAAATACAACTAAGAGATGAAGAGATAGCCAACATATCAGATGCACAGTTCAAAACACTGGTAATCAGGATGCTCACAGAAATGGTTGAATATGGTTGCAAAATAGAAGAAGAAGTGAAAGCTATGAAAAGTGAAATAAAGGAAAATGTACAGGGAATCAACAGTGATGGGAAAGAAAGCAGGATTCAAATCAATGGTGTGGGCCAGAAAGAAGAAATAAACATTAAACCACAACAGAATGAAGAAACAAGAATTCAGAAAATGAAGTGAGGCTTAGGAACCTCCAGGACAACTTTAAACATTGCAATATCTGAATCATAGGGGTTCTAGAAGGAAAAGAGGAAGAGCAAGAAATTGAAAACTTATTTGAACAAATAATGAAGGAGAACCTCCCCAAGCTGGGAAAGGAAATAGACTTCTAGGAAGCCCAAGAAGTTCAGAGAGTCCCCAAAAAGTTGGACCCAAGGAAGCACACACCAAGGTGCATTATAATTACATTACCCAAGATTAAAGAAAAGGAGAGAATCTTAAAAGCAGCAAGAGAAAAGGAGACAGTTACCTCCAAAGGAGTTCCCGTAAGACTATCAGCTGATTTCTCAGAAGAATGCTTGCAGGCAAAAAGGGTCTGGAAAGAAGTATTCCAAGTCATGAAAGGCAAGGGCCTATATCCAAGATTACTCTATCCAGCAAAGCTTTAATTTAGAATGGAAGGGCAGATAAAGTGTTTCCCAGATAAGGTCAAGTTAAAGGAGTTCATCATCACCAAGCCCTTATTATATGAAATGTTAAAGGAACTTATCTAAAATAAAGAAGATGATCAAAAATATGGACAGTAAAATGACAACAAACAACTATCAACAACTGAACCTAGAAAAACAAAAACAAACTAAGCAAACAACTAGAACAGGAACAGATTCACAGGAATGGAAATCACATGGGGGGTTATCAGCGGGGAGGGGGAACAGGGAGAATGGGGGAAAAGGTACAGGGAATAAGAAGCTTAAATGGTAGGTACAAAATAGAGAGGGGATGGTTAAGAGTAGTATATGAAATGGAGAAGCCAAAGAACATAATATGTGTGACCCATGGACATGAACAAAGGTGGGGGAATGATGGCGGGAGGAGGGGTACAAACCAGAGGGGAATAAAGGGGTAAAAAATGGGACAATTGTAATAGCATAATCAACAAAGTATATTTTTTAAAAATGAACAGAATTTTAACCTCAAAAAGGGGAAAGCAAGTCACAGAATAAAAGGTAATTCTTTAATAAATTTTGTTTTATGAAAATAAAAAAATAACAATAGCACTCTAGGCTTCAGTAGGAGATACACACATGCACACACACAAGTTCACTGAGCAAATTTACCAAATATAAAATTTCTTTTTACTTCATTTATTTATTTATTTAATATATAATCTTTATTATGCATTTTTCCCATTACCATTTAGTCCCCTTATAGTTCTCTGCCCCCATCATCACCACAGGTTGTCCATGTCCATGAGTCCTTTTTCCTTTTTGCTCTGTCCCTCCACCCCTGAACTCCCCTGCCCTGTACTCTGCATGAGCTGTCGTCTGTTCTCCATTTAGGAGTCTGTCTCTGTTTTGCTTGTTAGTGCAGTTTGTTTGTTAGATTACACATATGACTGAATATATTCCCATATATTGGAATATGGGAATATTCCCATTGGATATATTCCCATAAGTGATTTATTGATGATAGACATTCTGACAGGTATGAGATGGTATCTCATTGTGTTTTTTATTTGCATTTCTCTGATGATTAGTATATTTATTCCTGTGTGTGGTGTAAAAAGGTGGTCTAGTTTCATTTTTCTTCACGTATCTGTCCAATTTTCCCAACACCATGTACTGAATAAACTATCTTTAGTCCATTGTATATGCTTGCTTCCTAAAAATTCTTTAATTTAGAATTTTAAAGATTTTATTTTAAATGTTTTCCAGCTTTCAGATGGCATGGAGACAAAGAAGAATATAGAGGTATTTAAAATTTCTATTTTATGTGATTATGTATCAAAGTACTATGTGGAAGTAAAAGAATGTTTTTAATAACATAGAAGTAAGTAAATAAACGTAGTGACTCTGGGAAAGAGAGAGAGTTGGGAACAGGTATAGAAGCTTTCTTTTTCTGCTTAGTCTCTTTTCTTGTGTGTAACCTAGCTAAAATTCTTGATTATTTGAGTTGTATCAAAATTAGTTCTGAAATATAATTTTGTTTTGCTTTTGGATTTGGCACATGAAGATGCTAGGGATCTTAATTTCAGAGATGCTTCTGAAATCCTTGATAATACAAAGATTTTTCTTAGGGGGGATAAATACTTTATTTTCATAAAAAGAAATAAAATAATTGACTAATAATAGCTAAGTATTTATCTGTCTTCTGTAGTCATATGAAATTACTAAACTACAAAGAGTGAAGTAATTACTATTATTTGAAATCTCCTCTTTCTAGGGTTGCAACTTCTCTGGATTCAAATTAAATGCGCTTACTCAACTACCCAGAAAATTGGATGCCAAACGAATTTTTGTTTTTATTTTAAAAGCCCAAAACTTTGATGTATGTACATTTTTATTTATTGTGTGATAAGTTTCAAGGATATGATTTAATGAATCAGACCTTTATGTAAATATCTGACAAAGTAGGTGTTTAAGCAAGATGGACCTTGGTCTTAGAGAAGATTTTATGAATTTGACCCCAAGCACAAGAAAAATAAAGGCAAAAATAAATGAATGGGACTATATCAAACTAAAAAGCTTTGCACAGCACAAGAAACTGCTAAGGAAACAAAAAGGCAACTGACCAAATGGGAGCTGATGTTTGCAAACAGCTCCAACAGGGGTTATAAGCCAAAATATATAAAGAACTCATACAACTCAACACCAAACAAACAATCCAATTAAAGAAATAGGCAGAGGACCTGAACAAATACTTCTCCCAAGAAGACATATAAATGGCAAACAGATATATGAAAAGATGATCAACTTCACAAGCTATTAGAGAATTGCAAATCAAAACTACAATGAGATACCACCTCACACCTGTTAGAATAGCTATTAACAACAGGACAAGTAATAACAAGTGTTGGAGAGGTTGTGGAGAAAAAGGAACTCTCATTCACTGCTATTGGATATGTAAACTGGTACGGCCACTATAGAAAATGGTATGGCAGTTCCTCAAACAATTAGAGTTACCATATGACCCAACAATCCCTCTTCTGGTTATCTACTTGAAAAACTTTTATTCACAAAGATATATGCACCCCTATGTTCACTGCAGCATAATTCACGGTGCCAAAGATGTGGAGACAACCAAAGTGTCCTGCCATAAATGATTGGGTAAAGACAATGTGGAATATATATACTATGGAATACTGCTTAGCCATGAGAAGAGATGAAATAGTTCTATTTGCAATAACACTAATGGATCTTGAGAATATTATGCTAAGTGCAATAAGTCAGGAAAGGCTAGGAACCATATGATTTCACTCATATGTGGGATGTAAAACTGAAACACATAGACACAGACACCAGTATGGTAGTTACCAGAGGGAAAGGTGTGGAGGGGGTGGTAAAGGGTAAAGGGAGCCAAACACATGGTGACAGAAGGTAATTTGAATATTGGTGGTGGGCAAACAAAGCAATATGGAAATCAACCCTTGAAGCCTGTATAATCTTATTAACCAATGTCACCACAATAAATTTAATATAAAAGAGAAAACAAAAAAAGAAGTGCCTATAATAACTCAAAAGGACTGAATTTATGGATCTAAAACTCAGAAAGAGAAGGTTAAAGGCTACTGTTATTTGCTTGAAGGTGTGGAAATCCACTGAAATGACTGAATTTCTCTAACCCCATCTAAACACATTCCTGCACATACAGTCATAGATTAAATTTCTTTAATGAAAGTGTATGTTATTCCTTGTATCATGCAGAACACAATGTTGGGTGGACATGATGCTTAGTAAAGATTGTATTAAATTGAATTAAGTGAAAAGGGGCCTATATTACAGATATAAGGAAAAAGCTAGCCCTGGCTGGTGTAGCTCAGTGGATTGAGTGCGGGCTGCGAACCAAAGTGCCGCAGGTTCGATTCCAGGCCAGGGTACATGTCTGGGTTGCAGGCCATAACCCCCAGCAACCGCACATTGGTGTTTCTCTCTCTCTCTGTATCTCCCTTCCTTCCCTCTCTAAAAATAAATAAATAAAATCTTTAAAAAAAAAGAAAAAAAGAAAAAGCTGAGCCACAAGCATGTTTACATACACAGAGATTCAAGAAAACATTAGAAGTAATTTTGTTCAACTTAAAGTCAATATTAAAAGTTCCAAGTCAGATAATCTATAGGTTTTAAAGTATATTTACATTTACTTGAATCCAATAATTATCACAAAAGTGGAAGGAGGTGAGGGATGGAGAGAATATTTACATTTTTAAGGTGGGTTTTGGGTTTTTTTCCTCAATTTCCATTTTTTGGTTGTTTTGACTAACTACTGATATATTTTAAAGAATTTTGAATTTCCTGAAAACAGGAAGTTAGTGATACTAAACATAACCAAGACTAAGAATAGAAGCAGTTATACAGTTACTTTAGGTAACAAGCATCTTTGCTTGAAATTTACAAATAATTTAAGAAAAAGTATTCAGCTTTCCTCCTGTATTTCAGTTTTGTACTTTTGTCCTTATATACCTTATATGCGTCCTTTGTAATTAAGTACCAGATTTAAGTTGATGCTGTTACCGATGTAAGTGGCCTGTGAAAGAGAAGTGCCCCGCAGAATGCATGATAAATAATCTGCTTGCTACAAAAGTATTCACGCTGTGGTTTTTTTTTGTAGACTTGTACTTGAGGAACAAAAATGTATACCTATGTATTTCAATTTTTAAAATCTTGAACTCCACTGAATCTTGCATTTTAAAAACCTTTAGCTGAATAAGATCTACTGAATGTGCCTGTTTAAACCAAGATTTATGGTCTGTAGTAGTCAGGGTAAATAGATTTAACCTTATGTGCCAGTTTTGATCATTTGCTTAAAGAGAACACTATGTTTAGATAAGGTCTAGTCTAGGGTTATAATGGGGTTCATTGGGATAGAATTCCATGATTGTTGATATCTGTCTTCAGGGTAAAGGGGAAATTGTAGTATATCTTGGATTTTTGCTATTCTTGGTCTAGCCTACACTGTCATGGTTTCCACAGGTCCTGACCAAGTGACTATTGAGCATATGAAATGTGGCTAGTACGATGGAGCTGAGTCTTTTAAAATTTTATTTTAACTAATTTTATGTAAATTCAAAAACTAATACTTGATTCATTTATCAAAAAACTTTGATTATGATTAAAACAAAATGACAATCATGTATTTTATGAAGTCTAAATGCTAACCTCATATTTATAATGAAACTTTAGTGTTCAAACTGAGATGTGCTGTGTGAATTATACAGTATATTTCAAAGGCCTAGTATCAAAAAATATGTAAATTATTAATTAATAATTTTATAATTATATGATAGTATAATGATAGTTTAAATATATTTGGTTAAATACAGATCATTAAAATTAATTTCACCTTTTACTTTTTTATGTGGCTACTAGAAAATGTAATATTACACATGTGGCACCACATTAAATTTATACTGAACATTTATACTGGTCTGTAGCCACTGAACATGTGCTATTTACAAAGACTATTTGCATCCACTTGTTCTATGATGTATTTTAATTTGACCCCTATTTGTCTTTTTTTTTCCCATAGGAAAAAGCTCTTAAAATGTGGAAGACTCATTTTCTCTCAGATGCCTCTATTGCTCTTTTGCATGATTGCTTTTGGTGGTGGTTTCTCCATAAATTTAAGGTATAATGATTTTTTCAAACTTCTTTTTTATGTTGATTTGCAGCTAATTTATTTTTCAGTAGAGGTAGCACTGGTGCAAAAAATGTTTTTATGGATCCTTTCACAGAGCTTGGTTTTTTAGTATTGCATACATGTTAGAAGTTCTGTTTGAAATCTAGAGTCCTTTCAGAGAATTAAGACTTTATTATGGATTTCAAAGAACCAGGGTCTTCATTTAATCAGAAAAAAATAGTGAAATCAAACATTGCAGTGAATGATAAAGTTGTAGCTTTATTGAATACTATAATGTGCTGATAAACACTAAGCCCAAAACCCACTGCAAGTCAGTGACATTGAAGGTTTTCTTTTGGAAAAGAGTCTACAGGTCAGATGGAGAGAGGGTCCTCACTTAATTCATAAAAGTTAGGACTCTGATTAGGATTAAAAAGAGAAAGATGTGGGTATCCGGGAAACAATAAGAGAATTGAAATAAGCAGCACATAAAGCTCATGTTAGAAAATACATGAGCTTAGAAAGAGTGGTGAATATAAATGGCTGCCGTGTAGCCTCTGGATCCAGAAGAACAGAAAACAGAGCATCCCAGCGGTCAGAGTCCAGGTAAGCATTGAGAAGGCGTGCCACCCCATCAAGGAAGCCTGCAAGTGGACTCAACTCTCTGCCTTTCCCCAGCCCAGATTACCCACAGAAAACTGCTTATGAATCCTCACAGAAATTTCATACCATGAAGAAAAGGGTGTTACCAATTTTACATTCAAACTATTTAGTCAATGCTTTAATGTAATTCCAGGTAAGAGTATTTCTGATACTGGTAGGAGCTGAATGAGGCATAGGAAGTGATGTATTAATTCCACAAAGGTAATTACTTAGGGAAATTTGTGAAATCAGGAGTTTTGTTATCTTAAATTTCTCTTTCTAGATCTGGATCCCACATATATGTGTTGCCATGATAACAGAGGGAAACCTTACTTTCTCACTAAACGTATTAGGATTATATAAACAAGTTTTTGAAGAAACACTCTAGCAGAGTTCCTAAAAACTGTTTTGTCAAGCCATAATAGTATTTTGTTATTCTGGACAAAATACAGATTTGATGCAAAAATGTTAACATCCCACTACTTTTATAATATTATTCTTAGACTAACAAGGAATTAGATTTTTTAAATTTATCTTTAAACTATTCTCTAGCAACTGCTTACTTTCTAAAGTAACTTTGTTTAAAGGCAACTCTAGAAGTTAGTGTGCAGAGAAGTTGTTAGGACCTGTAGATACCAACTATACACTTAAATAAATCTTGGACACAACTGCAAAACAACATATTAAGAATATTGTGGGCCTGTGTATGTTTATTTTTAATCTCATACCCCCTAAATAAGCAGGCTTAAACAGCAAATTCGAGAAATGTAACAGAAAACACAGCCTCTGATATAAGACTAAGCAAAAGCCACACATTTCATTTTCTCTTCACCAATTTAGCTGAGGAACACTGGAAATCTTACAAGCCAAGTTGAGGCCCACTTTTTCATGCTCTGTCACTGAGCTAAGCTTGAGGCAGCAACTGGCTCTAGGACTGGTTGGAAGGTCTTGTAAGTCAAGGCCGATTATGTGGCAACCACTGCTCCCATAATGACACATGAAGTATCATTTCTATTTTGTGGATCATTGGGCAACTGGTTTCTGTGGGCTGTCCATGAGGGTTTTAATACTTATTCTGTAGTGTACTGCTGATGTGAGTCCATATGTAGTATATGGGAAAGCAAATCCTTCATTCTATCTGAAATATTGTTCCAATTTCTACCACTAAAAGAGAACTTTCCATTGCTTATATGCAGCAGTATCTCTTCAGAAGTATCATTGGAACCACTAGAAAATGGACTGCTGACAGCCAACATTGTGTAACAAAGGACTCCCAGACTCCAAATATCACAAACAGCATCATAGCCCTGTTGCATTAAGAACCTCAGGTGCTACAAAGTTGGCAGTGAAACGTGGAATTAAGAGAAGTCCATTTTCTCCTCAAAGTTGTTTTATAAACTCAAAATCACAGATCCTAATGGAGTCCACATTGGCTGATTCATCCATGTATAAAATTTTACTGGTTTAAGATCACAATGAACAACTACTTGACAGTGAAGATAGTTATCTGTCTTTGTTATTACAAACAGTACATCACTAGCTTCCTACCCTGAAAAACATGTTTGAGAATACAGTCAAGTAGCTCTCCTCCTTTTATCCAATCCACAACAAGATAAGCGCAACTACTGTCATCATAAACATCCTTTAAACTGATAATATTTGAGTGTTGTCCGTAGCACTTCCAAACTTCAATTTCTTCTGAGGAATCTTTCTTATTTTTATCAGTGATCTTCACTGAAAAATCCAAGTTGGTAACAGCATCTATGCATTGCTTGCAAACTGAATAGGAGCCAACACCTATACCTTCTTTCAATTCATATACTTCATATTCATGGGCTCATTTCTGTCTTTACTTTGAAATGACAGTGTACCAGTAAGAGTTTCAAACATAAGTACACCATATGGACACCAATCAGCGCTCTGGAAATGACTTCTTCTATTTACTACTTCAGGAGCTGTACACTCCACTGTATCACAGAATGAGTAGACCTTCTTTTCTTGATCTACTGATTCTTTGCTGTGTCCAAAATCTGTTAACTTCATATGTCCTATTTCATCAAGCAAAATGTTTTTTAGCTTCACATCTCTACACACAGTTTCTAATCAGTGCAGATGATCCAAAGCAAGGGCTGGTTCTGCAAGGTAGAATTTCACGTCTCCCTTTGTAGACAGAACCTTTTTGAATAGTCTTGTGAAGACATCTCTTCCCTTGAGGAAACCCAGTATTAAATACAGCTTCCTTCAGTCTGAAAGCATAATGCAATTTGACATTCAATGGATGATTTACTTCCACCAGTAGATCCCTCTCCTTCTTTGTCCGAATTCTGCCTTGAACTTTTAAAGAAACTTTTTTGTTTTTAACACTGTGATTGCATACAGCTGCCCAGCATTGCGGTCGGTCTTTCTAACAAGAAAAACCGTTCCAAAGGATCCCTGACCAAAAACCTTAAGCAACTCAAACTATGCAGGGTCTGCTTTCTCAGATCCTTCCTTAAAGTGATGAGTAATAGGAATTTCTTTAACAACTCCATACATATATATATATATATATATATATATATTCTCCCACAACTTATTTAATTCTCCCACAACTCTGTATCTTAGAACCACTGCCTGTTACATAAGTGACCAAGAATTGTTATTAATATTATCATTATTATATTTGCTATAATCTCCTTCCATAAATTTATTACACAAGTATGAGAGCCACATTGGAAGTCAGGTGATCTAGTTTCTAGTCTGGCTCTTGATTACCTAATTGTATAACCTTAAATCGTTCTCTTAATCTTTCTGAGCACCAGTGCAATCACTGAAATAGAGGAACTTAATGTAGGTGATACCTTACGTCCATTTTAGGTTAAGAGCCTATGCATTTATAAATCCCAGCTCATTTGATTTTCTAATTTTATAGAAGACTACCAATAACCTTAAAAAGTTTTGGTGTTTATTACCATAACATATTAATGCTAGAGTGCTTCTGCAATTGACATCATAAATAAATGTGGACTCTTTAATTCATCTTTATTGCTTAATTTATAGATGTGGACTCTAATTTGTCTCTTAATTGCTTAATAAAGCAAGAATTCAGGGTGCTACATTAGGACTTTATAATATTGCCATTATTATCTGTAGATTTCTTTTTTTATGCAACATTCTTTGTATTCAGTTTAGCTATCACATCACAATTTTACTAGTTCTGGCTATGACTGTTTTATCCCAGTAATTGCTTTAATTTCATGCTGAGTTACTCGTAATGCAAGAATTGAAATGGTTATAGAACAATAAAAAGGTAGCTAAGTCATTGGTTCCTTCTGCATGCCAACTACTATGAAAGAACCTTCATTAATCCATCAAGCATCTGTGTGCCAGACACTGCTGAAGTCTTGAAATACATGTACCTCACATAAAATATGATCCTTGTTCTTATTTAATTTTAAGATACCACTTTATGATATGTATATATTATCGGCAACTGGCAGATAAGGAAACTAAGACTTACCCAAGGTAAGGCAGCTAATGAAATAACAGCCTGCCTTCAAATTCCGGTCTGCATGGTGCCAATACTCATGCTCATTCCCCTATAGCGAGCCTATCTGCTCTTTAAGAATAGATAAAATTACTGTCATTACACAAATGCCAACTTTAAATTGTAATATAATGATTTTAATTCCATGCATCTTTTATTTTTTAAGCCTGACAGAGAAAATCAAGATTTCTTGTTTGATAGAATCTCAGAAAGTTACGTGAGACTTTTTGTGAGCATACCTCTAAGTCGAAAGGATGCATTCTTTCAGGTAAATGTAGAAATTAACTATTATGCTAATTATTTTTAGAGCTAATGAAATAGAAAATAGTTATTTTATTTATGCCCCTCATTCCAGAATGTTTTATTCCCTTGATTAAAAGTCTTACAGAATCTCCTTAGTGCAATACAGATATTTTGTTTGCATATAGATAATTTGAAAACTGTTGACATATTCTATGTATATTCTTGGGTTTTTTATATTTATATACAAAATTATTTATCAGTTTATTTTTTCTGTACAATGTATCTTTTTATCTAAGAGGACTTGAAAGTTTGTGTTATACCTAAGGACTAAGTACCTGCTACAGTGAAGAACAATGGACAAATTTGTGAATCAAATGTTTGTTTTACTTTCCTAGTATATTAGCTAGTGAGTAGGGTTGATTAAAATAATTTTTTGTTCTTGAGTAATATTAAATAAAGATGGTAGGAATCTTATTGGATATTTTAAAATTTAAACACCTAGTATTTCAAACCAAAAGCCACATTCATATACTTTGTTGTGTTATCATCTGTAAATCAGAAATACAGAAGTATTTGGGAGTCAGTAAATGTTTTTTCCATGGGTAAAGGAAACCTAAAATAAAAATAGTTAAATAACCTTTGTAAACAAACCTAAATTGCCAAATATTTATATTCTATCTTTACCTGTCTTATTCAGAAGCACATACATACTGTGTGACAAGGTGGAAGGAACTTTGGCTTCATGTCAGATTCTGCTATTGATTACCTGGGGGCTCTTGTTAGGACATTCAGTCTCTCAGTTTCATAGTTGATTGTCTGTCAAATAAAGAGGATCATCAGATCCATGATTCAAAAATTATTCTTTTGAAGAACAATGGTGCTCTCAAAGATAGACTAGAATTTTCTCTGCTAATACTGATTTTTTTTTCTTATTTGCAGGAAAAAGTTAGCAAATGGTTAGGATTTGGGGTATATAAATTGTCTAGAGGTGATCATCTTTCTTTTCTTGAGAACCAGGCCACCTCCCTACAAGTTTATCCCCTTCAGAGCTATTTAAGTGGAAGTGGAACCTCATCTCTCATTGATCAATTTTCATTATTTTTAACTCATCCAAATAAGTGGGGTGTTTTGTTACTATTATCTCATCCAATTTATCTTACCTAAAGAAGATAAAGTTATTAATATTTCAAATCAGACAATTATTTTCAGGTCTCATTACTTAGTACAAATTAACTGAATCTAAATATATTTAGTGTGGCTTTCACTTCCCTTCCTTCCAATGTCATACACCAATATTCCTTTAGAAATTTCCCAGCACAATTTGACATTTGATCTCTTTTTCCCTTAATCTCCCGAAGACAAGGTGCTCACAGAAAACTGAAGAGGGTTCCCTTTTTCACCTTGTTCAACATTTAAATTTTAATCATTAATATGGTTTTATGAACCCCAAATACAACATATGATTGTTTCTGGTAGTAAAATATTCAAAGTTCATTCAGTAAAACTAACTATACCAATATATTAAAGGATTCTCCCATCTCCTCCCTGTTCCCCTCCCAAAACAATTATCATGTTCTTCAAAGAATACCATCACTTACCAGCAAACATGACAAGTACTGGTTTCAGTGACTGTATTCATTTCCTATTGCTGCTATAACAAATTGTCACAAACTTAGTGGCTTAAAACAACAGAAACTGTCTTACTGTTAGATCAGAAGTCCAAATTCAGTTTTATAGAGCTAAAATCAAGGTATCAAAGGACTAGTTTTTTAAGAGATCCCAACAGAGAAGCCTTTTCTAGCTTCTGGTGGCTGCCAATGTTATTGGCTTCTGGTCATATCACTCCAATCTCTACTTCTGCCATCCCATTGCCTTCCCCTCTTCTATTGTATAATAAAATTTTTCTCAGAGTCCTTCTTGGAAGGACACTTATAATTACATTGAAGGCCCATTGGATAATTCAAGGTAATCTCCCCCTCTCAAGCTCCTTAATTAATGATATATGCAAAGCCCTTTTGCTATATAAATTAACACTTACAGGTTCCAGAAATTAGGACAGTGACCTATAAGGGGCATTTTTTATTCTAAATTTTTACATTATTAAGGGGTAAATGTATGATTGTAAATGCTTACCAGAATGAAGAGTACCAAAATAGTAAAAAAAAAAATTTAAACCTTTAATATGAAAATATTGTTTCTTTCTATGCTTAATCACTCTGAGAGAAATGAGGTAATTTACAGATTTTACTAATAGAATACTGGTAGAAACATATCTCTCTCTTTTTTTAAAAAAATTATTTTAATTGTTGTTCACATACAGTTTTCTGTCTTTTACTCCCATCTCACAAAATATGACCAAAGACACGGAAATAGAGAACAGGCTGACAGTGCCCAGAGGGGAGAGGGGAGGGAATTTCAGGGCTGGGATGGGAAACATATATCTCTTGATGTCTGATCATGGTTTTAATATGTAAATAATACAGTGGTGATTATAATATGTTAAGTCACCTAAACAGGCTTCGATTATTTAAAAAATATGCTTTTTATTCTCTGATAATTATGTGCCATAACAGAGGTATTAGCTACGGCTATGGTGATAACCATTTTGTAATATATAAATGTGTTAAATCAATACAACATGCATATTAAATGTGCACAATGTTATATGTATTTTATTTATATATGCTTTTTATTACAATGATCTGTATATATCACTTTATAAAAGAGGATAACAATAGCAAGGTTATATGAAATACATATATATTCATCAAACTTTATCCTAATTGTTAACTTCATCCTTTATCCAAATTTTTAAAATTTTCCTCAAATGCTATCAAATAGTCAAAATGACTAACTTTATTTCTATTTCTTTTTATGTTCCTCAATTAGATGTACAAAGAGATACTAAAGGCCAACAGCAAGCTATTACAAAAAAGGGATATATATATATATATATATATATATATATATTGCAAACTTAATAATACTTTCTTTGGTAGTTGAGATATGTTATATGAAATATGAAATCATTCTAATATAACTATTTTTGGTAGGTGTATCCTGATTGTTTGGCACAAGCTATCTGTACAACATTCCAGGAAGCATTTCCAGAATCCAGTGATCTCTTTAGTGATGTATTTAAAGAAGATCTAGGGAATAACATTTTTCTTTGGTTGTCAGGTATGGGGGTCATTTAAGTATTGATCATTATTTTAGTACCTAAAACTTTTGGATTTTGCTTTCTCCAGTCAAAAAAAAAGGGTAGTTCTTTTTAAAAAAAATATTTCTTTTTTTAAAGATTTAGTTATTTATTTTTAGAGAGGGCAAGGGAGGGAGAAAGAGAGAGAGAGAAACATTAATGTGTGGTTGCCTCTCACGTGGCCCACAACCCAGGCATGTGCCCTGACTGGGAATCGAACCTGCGATTGCTTTGGTTCACAGCCCAAGCTCAATCCACTGAGCTACACCAGCCAGGGCTTAAAAGAGTAGTTCTTTGCCTTATAAAACATGCTAAATGGATGCCTATGTTTTTAAATAATAATGATTTTCTTTTGAAAATTTCATAATACCAAAATTAATCAGTTATTAACTTTAAAAGTCCAATAATTTTATAGGCAGTGAAATTATTACAGAAAACTGAATTGCTACAGAATTAAGTCATGCTATATACACTTTATATTTTGAAGATAAACATTTTAAGCTGCTTTTTGGAAATACATTTATAACTAATACTATTGGGTAAATTCTAGAGCTAATTGAGTTTCTCATAAAACATACAATCATTAATAAAAGAAACTTGGTTTTTAAATATTGATGTGCTTATAGGTATAAGTGGTAGGACTGAAAGACTAAAGGTAAGTAAAATTCTATTCTAGAGTATTTAGCTGGAGATTTAGGTACTTGGGCTTAAAACTAGGGTAGTTACAAATTCTGGGAATGGCTTTTCCAACATTTTTTCCTAAGACTTTTATACTATTATGGACTACCAGAAGATATTGACAATTTTCTTTCTTTTTTAAAAGATTTTATTTGTTTATTTATTTTTTAGAGAGATGGGAAAGAAGGAGGAAAGAGTGGGAGAGAAACATTGATGTGGGACAGAAATATCAGTCAGTTACCTCTCGAATGCACCCAAAACCCACAACCCAGGCATGCACCCTGATAGGAATTGAACCATTGACTTTTTGCTTTGTGGGATGATGACCAACCAATTGAGCCATACTGGTCAGGGCTATTGACAATTTTTAAGAAGTGTTTCTTGTAAATCTTTTGGTTTAAATCTTGATTAGCTTTTAAAACTGTTTTTGTTTATTCAATATATTTATGAATATATTAATGTATAGCGATAATATTAACTCATAGTTCCCGTTTACCAAGTATTTTAACATATCTCAGTAACCCTCAGAACAAGGGTATGTAGTACACAAAGAAATCCATATTTTTTAATATTATTGCTCAGGATACAAATGTTTAGTGTGGTTAAGTGCATTATTCAACCTTATACAGCTTTTGGAACAAAAGTGGAACTTTTTATATGAAATATATTTTATTATTTGGGGGATACTGTAATTATATATATAGAGGAAAGGTGCTGGGGTCCAGCCTCAGCGGGGTCTCAGGGTCCCCGAAGGATGCACAGCTAAGGCGAAGAGACTAGAGGGAAACACCCGGTGGGGTGCCAGAAGACAGCTAGGCTTTTTGGGCCTGACTGACTCACTGAGAAAAGTCAATCTTTATTTTTATAGGGGAGGTTATACAACATTCAATGCATAGTGTGATTATTACAACAGAAATGGTTACCATAGAAATAATTTCAAAAAGTACAGAAGGTTTTACAGATCAATCATGTTAAACAAAGAAATAACCAAAAAGTACAGGAGGTCCCACAGATCAACCATATTAAACAAAGGTTATTTTGACCAAGAGGGTTATTAATCAGATAGCCAATGAAGCTATATGGGCACAAACTTTCAGGTGCCAATTAGTAACTAGGTGTCTATTAAGATTCTAGGGATTGGTCTAAGTTAAAAGGGTGCAAGGGGTGATTTATAGGTTATATAGAAATTAGCTATTGTCCACTGAGGTTAGATTTGTCTAGGTTAGGTAACTGGTTTTTTGCCTAGGTTTTTGATTTATACATCTTGGGGAGGCCATGTTTTGTATTCATTTCCATATATTGAGATTATCATTTCCAACTACAACTCCTTGCTTCTTTACACTCCTGTCCAAGGTATGGAAGGGGTAGTGGCTCTAATAAATCTTAAGCTTTTAAGTGGTGACTCCCCAAGAAACATTCCTAGCAACAGCTTCCTTCAACGTTCTGGCAGTTGGTCTGTCCATAGATTAATTTTGTCCTTAACTTCCCGGGTGGGGGAAGCAGGCAGCATTAGGGTTGCTAGGGGTCTCTATTCTGTGGTCAGCAAGTCATTTCACACAGAATCAGGGGCATCGTGCAGATTTTTTGTTATAACACACAGGTATCCAAAAATCCCACCACCTATTGCTAGCAGGGATAGGTATACAGGAAGAGATAGACAGGAGATCCAGCCACAGTTGCCTCTGCTGTGCAGATGCATCTCACCCATCCCGACTGTGTCAAAGGTTGGTTGTTGGTAGGCTCCTGACAGAAAGGTATCTATACATCAACACAGTGGAAAGGTAACCAACCTTCTGTGAAAACATAATTTGCCAATGATTCCTTGGACATTATTCCTTGGACATTTTGATCTCCAAAATATATAAAGAACTCACATGACTCCACACCAGGAAGACAAAAAAAAACCCTTAATTTAAAAATGGGTAAGAGACCTGAACAGAAACTTCTCCAAGGAGGACATGCAGAGGGCTCATAGACACATGAAAAAATGTTCAACATCACTAGCCATTAGAGAGATGCAAATTAAAACCACAATGAGATATCACCTCATACCAGTCAGAAGGGCCATCATTAATAAATCAACAAACAGCGAGTGTTGGTGAGGATATGGAGAAAAGGGAACCCTAGCACGCTGTTGATGGGAATGCAGACTACAGCAACCACTGTGGAAAATAGTATGGAATTTCTTCAGAAAACTAAAAATGGAACTGCCTTTTTACCCAGCAATTCCACTGCTGGGATTATACCCTAAGAGCTCTGAAACACCAATCTAAAAGAACCTATGCACCCCAATGTTCAGAGCAGCACAATTTACAATAGCCAAGTGCTAGAAGCAACCCAAATGCCCACCAGTAAATGAGTGGATCAAAAAACTGTGGTACATTTACACAATGGGGGAATTCTATCCAGCAGAAAGAAAAAAGGAGCTCCTACCCTTTGAGACAGCATGGATGGATCTGGAGAGCATTATACTAAGTGAAATAAGCCAGGCGGTGAAAGACAAATACCATATGATCTCACCTGAAAGTGGAACCTAATCAGCAAAACAAACAAATGAGCAATATAGAACCAGAGACTTGGAAATAAAGAACAAATTGACAGTGACCAGAGGGGAAGGGGAAGGAGGATAATGGGGGAGAAAGAAAGGGAAAAGGCAAGCAAAAGAACACAAATAGAGAAGTCATGGGCATGGACAATGGGGGGTTGACTGTGAGAGTTGGGGGGTAAGAGTGAGCAATGGGGAAAAGGTAGGCCAACCGTAACTGCACAACAATAAATGTTAAAAAGACATTAACATTTCTGTATAGATGTTCCCTCATTAGAAACTTGAGACTGACAATTCTCACAAGACTGTTGTGAGAATAAAATACATAATACTCACAAAAAATGCTTTGACAAATTAAAAAGATATTTTCAAAATCCTACTTTCTTTGGCTAAGTGTCTTTTTTTTTAACAGGTTTGAAACCACGAAAAGGATTTTGGACCCACTGGAAACTGCAAGAACTGTCAGCAACAACTCTACATGGTACCAAAAGAGCACCTTTAATCTCTGTAAAGGACAGGATAGCAAGAAGTCAAGAACGTATAACAAACTGTAAGTAAATTTATCATGAATTAACAAATGAAACAGCCAAAATCAAGTGTACTGGGTCATTTGTCAGAATCTTCATTATAATGATTTATCCTTTGGTGAGGACCTTCAAATAACATTTGATTTGTACATTGATTTTATATTAGTTTGAATATTGCTTTACAGTTTAGTTTTTTCATTATAAAAGTTATGTATGCTTAAGTCCTATTCTCATGTCACCCATTTTATTATTATATTGATTTTTAGGAAATTTTCAGTTACACTACACATATTCTTACTTTTCAGCAATATTGCAAACTGGTTAATCATGTCTTTTGCCTGTAGATAACTTTAATTTTTTTTTCAGTAAATTTAAATCATTTCCTTTAAAGTTTTAATTTGATCAGATATTTATCAAGACTTACCTAGTATTATGAAAATATCTACTTTCTTTTTCTAGTACTTTTTATTTCCATGTTTTATTTAACATTTGATCTACTTGGAATTTATTTTGTCATAAGGAAAGTAGTTGTATTCCAGTATTTTGTTTTTTCCAATTGCCCATTTATTAACAGTCCACTTGCAGGCTACTTGAAATATCAATTCACTTGGATATATTTTTTTATTCTCTCCTGTTCCTTGAACTACTTGCCGAATTCCTGCACCAAACTTCTCAGTTACTCTAGATTAATAAGCACTTATGGCAAGTTTATTTCTCTCTTGTTTATACCGTATTTCTGATACAAAACATAATTCTGGTGCCTAGGCCTCCTGACTCACTAAATCAGAACCTCTGGCTCAGGACTTTTTAAAGCTACCCAGATGATTTCAATGAGCAGGGAAGGTGAAACCACTGATACCTTCCCAACCTCCTCCTCGATATAGGCCAGAGGATGGACGGACTAACCTGCTCAACCTACTCTTCTGAAAGCTTCTTCCATTAATTTCTCTTTTAAAATTAATTAATTACTGCTCTTTGGATTTGTGCCATGATTTTCCACACCCCTATCCCCAGAGATATCCTGATTTCTTTTAGTATTCATGTGAAATTTCTTGTTTGCTGTTGCCATGGGTTTTTCCAGAATTTTGAATGGAGAGGTACTTTGTATCTTGACCCCTCTTGCATATCTGTGTTTACTTCCCACCCTCACATGTGAATACATCTTAGATGAACATAAAATCAAGGGTTTGGAGAAAGCTCTTCATTTTGTTAAAATTTTAACTTATAGAAAGTGATAAGAGTAGCATAAGGAACTCCCATATATTCCTCATCCACCAACTGTTTAAATTTTACCCTATTTATCTTATCATTCTCTCTCTTCATTTTTCATACTGCGTTTCAACCTATGAATTTCTCTAAGCACCATTTTAACTACATTTTACAAATTTAAATATGTTGTATTTTCATTATCATTCTATTCAAAGTGTATTCTAATTTCCAGTATAAATTCTATTTTGACCCACGGGTTATTTAGAGAAGTATTGCTTAATTTCCAAATATTTGGCGATGTTCTAGATACCTTATAGTTACTGATTTCTAATTTAAAAATATTACAGGCTTACTATATATTCTATATGATCTTTTACAATGTATTGAGACTTGCTTTATGCCGCAGTGCATGGTCTCTGTGGGTGAACATTTTATGTGGACTTGGGAAGAATGTGCATTCTGCAGTTATTTTATAAATCTTAATTAGATCAAGGTGCTTCAGAGTATTATTCAGATCTTCTGTATCAAGGCTCAGCAAACTATATTACATGGAACAAATCAGGCCTGTAGAGTTTTTATATGTCCTGAGAATGGGTTTTACATTTTTAAAAGTTGGGAAGGAAGGAAGGAAGGAAGGAAGGAAGGAAGGCCACAAAGACCATGTGTGACCCACAAAGCCTAAAACATTGACTCTCTAGTCCTTAATAGGAAAAAGATTGCTAATTCTGGTCCTATTTCCTTACTAATATTTTAATTAGTAGTTCTATTGATTACTAGAGAGGGGATATTAAAATCTCCAACTCTGATTGTGAAATTATGTATTTCTCCTCTTAATTCTGTTGATTTTTGCTTTAAGTTATTGGCCATGACATACTCATTATTATTATGTTTCTCTTTAATCATTATGAAATGTTCCTTCACATCTATGGTTATCCTTGTTTTGAATTCTGTCTTGTTTGACATAATATAGCCACTTCAGCTTTCTCATATTTGTAGTTTGCATGGTTTATATTTTCCCATTATTTTACTTACAACCTATTGGTGTTTCCATATCTAAAGTGTATTTCTTATAAATATGCTTTTTATTTAGTCAGGCAATTTCTTGTAATTGGAATGCTATATTATTTACATTTAATATCACTATAGCTTTTTTCACCATATTCCTTTTTTTTTCAGCTTTTTCTCACCTGGTTTCTGTTCTTCCATTTCCCCTTTCCTGTCTTTTTTTGGTTAATTAAATATTCTTAGTATTCCACTTTAGTCCTCTATTCTTTAGTTGCCTGTACCTGTTTGTAAGTTTTGAGGTTGCCTTAATGATTACAAAATGCATCCTTAGATTATCAAAATACTACTTAAAATTAATATTGTCCAACTTCACTAAAAATGTAGGAACTTATAGCGGCATAGTACATGCACTTCCTCTTGGTCCTTTGTGCAGTTGTCATGGATATTAGAAGATCTACATGAATAATAGCCTCATATTATGTAGTGTTATATTTCTTAAAAAAACTGCATGGTTTATTTCAGCTTTTTTAAGGTCTAACTGATGTACAATAAACCACATGTATTTAAAATGTAATATTTGATAAGCTGTCATATGTATGAACCACAAAACCATTACAGCTTTCAAGATAGGGAACATATCCACTATTTTCAAAAGTTCTACATGCTTTTTGTAATTTCTCCTTCCCACTCAGTCTCCAGGAAGTCAACCACTCATGTAATTTTTGTCATTACAGGTTATTTGCATTTTGTAGAATTTTATGTAAATGGAACCATAGAGTATGTAGTATATTTTGTCTGGCATTTTTCACTCCAGTCCACATAATTATCTTGAGACTCACTCATATTGTTGCATGCATTAATAATGGTTTGTTCCCCTGTATTTTTGAGTAAGTAGCCTATAGTCAACAGTAAGGACATATCACAATTTGTTTACTCATTCACTTGCTGGTGGACATTTGCATTGTTTCAAGTATTTAGTTGTTATAAATAAAGCTGCTGTGAACATCATTTCTCTTTGGTAAACATCTACTAGTGGAATGGCTAAGTAGTATTATAGGTGTATGTGTAGCATTTTAAGAAAATTTCTGGATTGTATAGTTATTCCACGTCCTCACTAACACTTGTTGTCTTCTTTTTAATATGACATTCTTGTGGGTTATGTACTGGTTTTTAGCTAAGTTTTGTTTTAATTTTTTTAATGACTAATCATGATGAGCTTCTTTTTATGTGCTCATTTATGCATAACTTCTTTGCTGAAGTCTGTTTAAGTCTTTTGGCTATTTTATTTGGGTCATTTGTTTCATTAAATTGTTACAAGAGTTCCAAAAAATTGTTACAAGAGTTCTTTACATATTATGGACACAAATTCTTTAACAGATATATATATATTACAAATACTTTCTGCCAGTCTGTAGCTTGCCTTTTTTTATATTAGTGTCTTGAAGAGTAGAAGTTTATAATTGGCAAAATCCAGTTATTAACTTTGTTCTAACATAGTCTGTGCTTTTCTGTGTTCTTTTAAGAATTTTTTGTGAAACAATTTCACCAAGATTATCTCCTATATTTTCTTCTACAGATTTTAGAGTGTATAATTTTATAGCTTATGGTTGTAGCTCTTACATTTAGGTCTCTAATTCATTTTGAGTAAATTTTACAAATTATGAGAATTAAGCAATGAGGATCATTTCTTTGCACATTGTTCCAGGACCATTTGTTGAAAAGATTATCCTTTTCCCATTGAATTGTCTGAGAACCTTCATCAAAAAATCAGTTGACCATATGTGTGCTGGTCTGTGTCTGTACTCTGTAGTCTGTTCTAGGGATGCTGACAGCAAACTCCCTGATCAGTATAGTTTTATAATGCATCTATTTTTCCAGGTAGTGTAAGTCCTCTACCTTTGTTCTTCTTTAAAAGATGATGTTTGGCTAATCTAGATTCCTTTTAATTATGAATAAATTTTAAAATCTGTGTCAGTTTTTAAAGTATATACTCTGTAATTTAGATTGGAATTATGTTTAATCCATAGATCAATTCAGAGAGCATTGACACCTTAACAATATTGACTTTTCCAGTCCATGAAGATAAACTATCTCTACATTTATTAAAGATTCTCTCATTTATTTCAGCAATGTTTTCTAGTTTTTATTGTACATATGTTGTACATATTTTCCAAGTGACATTGTTTATGGTATTTATTCAATTTCTGACTGTTCACTGCTAGTATATAGAAAGCACTATAGGAAAAAATTTTGTATTGATCTTATATTTGTAATCTTACTAAATTTGCTTATTGATTCTACTAGCCTTTTTAAATTTCTTAAGGTTTTCTGCATGGACAATTATGTCATCTGACAATAAAGAGCATTTTACTTCTTTATTTCCAGTCTATATATATATGCCTTTTATTTATTTTACTTGCCTATGGCTAAGATTTCCAAGAAATGTTGACTAAAACTGGTGAGAGTAAGATCCTTGATCTTAGAGGGAAGTGTTTGGTTATTTATCCTTAAATAGATTTTGGCTGTGGGTTATTATAGATGTCTTTTATCAGGTAACTTCATTCTCTTCCTAGCTTGCCACAAGATTTTGTTTTTGTTTTAGTTTTTTAACATAATAGATGTAGGATTTTTACAAATGCTTTTTAAATACCTATTTACATGAACATACTGGTTTTCTTTTTCAGTCTTTTAATATAGTTAATTCCATTGATGTTCAGATGTTAACCCATCCTTGTATTCCCTTTTGGCCATCACATTAACATTTCATGTACTACTGGATCCTATTTGTTAAAATTTTGTTTTCTTTCCT